TTCTCTGAGTGGTATTCTAATAGAACCTCAGCATGGAAAGTAGCAAAAGAGAACAGAACACATAACAAGTAAACCTGAGAACTGAATTTCTGTCCCTACAAAGAAGCAATGTCATCCTTCTATCATATCCATCCATCCATTGATATATCTATATCTATCTTTGCCTTTCTACTATATCCTAGGACTACATTTTAGTAATTGTATGTATTTGTACAGGCACTATACTTTAAATGAGGCATTCCCATTTAACGCATGTGGGGGTAGGAAGAATGGGGAAAGAGGAAGAGAAAGATTCAAAATGCCAGTCAAAACTTAAAGAGAAAGAACTCTTTGGCTACTTTTGGAGCATTTCAGGAAACCAACTCAATCCAAAAGCTGGTAAATAAAAGGAAATCTAGCACTTATTCTGCCTTTTCTGTATAAACTGTACTGCATGAAAACAAAAAAAAGTTGATAAGGAAAAGTTTTTACAGAAGTCCAACTAATAAACGAAGGAGGAATGATAAAATTAGGATAACACTATTTTGCAACCCCTAATAAAATAATGGATCAATCATCAATGGCTGCTAAATTCATGAGGGAAAAAGTTGATAGGGAACTTTACAAAGAATGGATTAGACAGACAATAACTGAACCTAGCGATCAGTCTTATCACCACAGAGAGCGCTCACCAGACATCATGCAAAAAGAAGGTACAATAATCTATAAAGTATTCTTTCAAAAAGAATTAAACCCAACTCTGATCAGGCCTCTGAATTTAACTACCAGCTCATAAGAAACATAGAGGGACGGAGGGATACACTAAATGACAAAACAAAGATGCACTGAGCAAAATCCAAAATGTGAAAAATTCTGTAAGACAAATAACTTACTTCATTCAGCAGATAAATTACAACAGGGAAAAAGGACAGAAAGAGAAGAAACTATAGATTAAAAGAGACGTAAGAAATATATCAGTATGTGAACCTTGTTTACTAGATCTTGACTCAAGCAAACCAACTGTACAAAAAAGCAAAACTCTTGGGCTTCCCTGGTGGTGCAGTAGTTGAGAGTCCGCCTGCCGATGCTAGGGGACACGGGGTCGTGCCCCGGTCCGGGAAGATCCCACATGCCGCGGAGCGGCTGGGCCCGTGAACCATGGCCGCTGAACCTGCGCGTCCGGAGGCTGTGCTCCACAACGGGAGAGGCCACAACAGTGAGAGGCCCGCATACCGCAAAAAAAAAAAAAAAAAAAAAAGCAAAACTCTTTATTAGACAATGAGAAAAATGTGAATACTAACTGGACATTTAATTACATTAAAGAATTAATTTTCTGATGTGAGAGTGCTGTGGTTATATTAAAACAACAAAAAAGTGTCCCTACCTTTTTAGAGATGCATGCATAGGCACACATACATATATTTACAGATAAAGTTGATAAGATATACAGGAATTGCTTTGAAACGGTCTGGGAGAAAGGTGCAGGGAGCACTGATATACATGAAATAAAACTGACCATCATTAACTGTTGAAACTGGGTGGTGGGCACAGAAAGGTTCATTACAGTACTCTATTTTTATATATGTTTTTAAATGCTCATATTAAAGTTTGAAAAAAATAAAGAAAAAAGAATTGTCCATTGTAGACTGTTAACCTCTGAGGCATTCTTATGTAACATACTGACTGAGCACACCTACACATGAGGCACTATTCCAGTTGCTAGAGACACAGATATAATAGAGAGACAAGCATTTTAAAATTCCCTACAACACAGCAACTGACAAATGAAATAGAATTATTACAGAATTGCTAACACAGAGGAAGAAGTAATTAGAAGCATATAATTCCAGAGATTTACTAATAGTAGTTGAAAAATATAAACATGAACAATAAGCAAATGGGGTTTTTTTGGTAATCATCTCCCATTCTTTCCTCTGCTGATCCCTAGTTCTCCAATATTAAGAAAGTAGTAAATCAAGGGGCTTCCCTGGTGGCACAGTGGTTGAGAATCTGCCTGCTAATGCAGGGTACACGGGTTTGAGCCCTGGTCTGGGAGGATCCCACGTGCCGCGGAGCAACTAGGCCGGTGAGCCACAACTACTGAGCCTGCGCGTCTGGAGCCTGTGCTCCGCAACAAGAGAGGCTGCGATAGTGAGAGGCCCACGCACCGCAATGAAGAGTGGCCCCCGCTTGCCACAACTAGAGAAAGCCCTCGCACAGAAACGAAGACCCAACACAGCAAAAATAAATAAATTAATAAACTCCTACCCCCAACATCTTCTTTAAAAAAAAAAAAAAGTAGTAAATCAAAATAAAAATATTATCTACTTGCTTCCTCTTTTCTGCACATTGATTTTTATATTATTTGGCAATTTTTGGTTTCCTTTTGTTAAGAAAAATTAAAATTATGACAAATACATCTGGCTACTACTCCTCTCATTATTATTTAACTTTGTTACAATAAAATAACAAGAAGCATTTAATTAAAGTAAAAGAAAACTGAGCAAAGTTAAGAAAAAAACTTATTAAACAATAGCTTGAGAACGTTCCATGTAATCATGAATATCAAGGCCATGACACATGGCCTTCTATAAAAACATAGGTAATAATGATAAACTACTAAATTTAAAATAGGCATGTTGTGCTAGCCCAATAAATAGTATTCCTTTCCTACAAATCAGAAACTATATGACACAATTATAAACAGACTTCTTTTAAAACTTAGTTTGAAATCTCATACTTAAAAGATTAAACTATTATAAATATCAATACCTATATATATATATACATTTATAAGCAGTGGCTTAAACACTTAGAAATAAAATATAAAAATGTAACTTTACAATTGTCCTTTATCATTTTTTAAAGATTTATATTTTTAAAGGATCTTTCAAACTAATAAAATACTAAAACTCTCTTGACTAATATTTTAGTGTAACTGAGCACTGGGTAGGTAATGCTGCAACAAAGCACTATGAAAGATACATATAACGCAAAGAAATTAACAGTTATTACTTATAAAATGAGTCATTCCATTTCATGAAAAAAAGAAGAGACCAGTCACCAATTTCCAGGTCACAACAGAGAGAAGCAAGTAACATTAGATGGAAATAAGACATTGTTTAATAGAAACACAATTTTGAGTACACCACCTAGTTCCTCATGAAGAACTTTCAAGTTCAAAAAAATATGAAGGAAAGAAACGAAATATAGAGAGCAGTTGTAAACCACTGTAAAGCTCATATTGGGAGAAAGGATTAAATATACAGACTCTTGTTAGGGAATAACAATGTGAGGTGTTACTCGATGTATCGTCTCTGATTAGGCAGAAATATTTTGGGCTGTGGCTATCTCTGAAAATATCCAACTCCGAATTCTCTAACCACCCAGTTCAACCCTACACTCCCACGTGCTGAATATTCAAATAGAAGCAACCAACATAAAAAGGCCAAGCCTCTACACAGAGGTGAGCAGACCCAACACTGGGCAATGCAGCCTGGGTATCACTATTGCTTTTTCAATTATTCTGGCAACAACAGAAATCTACCTCTATTTCAGGAGGCAAAATCTGTTAAAGAAGATCATCAGGTATTGCATCCTTAGAAAACTGACCACCTACAATAGCAATGAAGAAAGAAAATCAGATGAATGAAGCACAAGTGAAAGAGAGATTCACTTGCCACAAAAAGTGGAGCTGAAGTATTCAATATCAGCTTCTCATAAACAAAAGAATAAATAACAGACCCAACCATGAAGAGGCATATGGCCCTAGTTCAGTCAAGGCCCAGAGATCTGTCCTTTTGATTTATATTCTTTTCATTACACAGCACTACCTTTTTTCAATGATGTCTTAATTAGCCCATTATTAAAACAACTGCATTTACTGAAGACACTGGGCAAGCAGGTCAGACGTGTACATCCCAATCAGCTTGTTCAGTGACCCCAACAGAACCTGGGATACAGCCACTACCCCATTTGCCCAAGGTCACACATTTTTCCAGGCAGAGTTAGCTCTAAAAGAACTCAAAGGCTTTGCTTTCCCAGAAAAACAAAATTCCCTCTAAAGCCCAAACACTCAGATAAGCATGTTCTCTTCACAGACACCAAAGGCTAATTTGGCTGCTGTTTCCCACAGATTTTGTCCACAGGAATTCCACGCTAGTCTTCTTGTTCCGGGTCCATAGTATACTCTACAGTTCCACCAATCTAAGACCACAACCTGTGAAATTAGAATGTCCTCAGTCCCTTTCATAAAATTATCTTTCTTTTGAAACATTTATGTATTCTAAAAAGCACCCTGTTTCTTCTTAAATTTCACATTCAGACTATTAACACCAATGAGTGTTCATTCAAAGATAACATATTAAACTTCTATTAAATCTATTATGTTGTTTTTATAACTGTTTCCATATACCTTTTCAATACTTAACAGTTCATTTATATGCTAACACATATATTTTCCGTCAAACTATCTAGAGTCTCATCAAACCATAAAAACTTTGAGAGTGAGTAAATTTTACCATACAAATACTTTACCAATAGCACATCATACAAAATATATACTCTTCTTTAAATTATGTGAAATGTTATTTGTTTTTTCTCTATCCTTCCTAATATACTATCTTTCAACTGTATCCAATCCTGAAAATAACTTGAAGAAATGCGATATATATGAACCAAATCAAAACAAACTCAAAAGGCCATCTCACTAAAGCAACATATCCCTAATATCATTTGCTCCAACAACTACTACAGAATAGTTTTTTTAAAGTATCTATAAAAAAGTACATAATATAAATGTGGTATATCTCCAAACATGAATTATGTTAAAATAATTTCTTAAGTTTAAATAACACAGAGTAGATTGCTAAAAGCAATTAAATGACAGCCAATTATTTCATATAGCAAAAATGACATCTCTTTATTAAATGCCAGGTATTCAATTCTATCAATAATTGTCCTGCAGAAGTCATAAATCAATGAGAACAGTATCTACTTGAAAAATGTTCTGAGAAACTTACCATCATTTTGACTCTTGCCCTTCATCTCCTCTTTCCATGATGGGATGGTGTTCAAGGGAACATAGTCCCTTAGGTATTCTTTGCGTCTCTCCTCTACGGTCATCTTCAGCAAACGTTCTTGCAAAATAAAAGCAGAATCTCCATTTGTATTTAACTTTTAAGTTCAGGAATTATTTTACAATTTAAATATTAACCACATTAAACTAACCAAAGAATTGGTGTGGCCTTGAAGAATACCAAAATCAAATCTAATGACTCCATATTTGAGTGTTAAAAGGTTTCAAATTAATACTACATTAGTAGGGGGAAAAATAAGATCTAAGCCTGATGAGGAAGACGTTCTTGCGATAGTCCAAGAAAGAAGTAAACTCTTTTAAACATCTACTGACAGTCTACTATGTGCCAGGTGATATGTTTATACACTGCAGGTACAAAGGTGACCTTTAACTTTGAGGAGTTCACAAGACATAAGAGGATACGGATAAGATAAAAAATAATAGCTACATAAATACAAAATCCTAAGACAAATAAGTACAAATGCTAACAGCACAAGAAAAGCAGCCACCAAGATATTTACTTAATTCTACAATGCCATCAAAAATAAAAGTGCCCTTTCAATTAATAATACCATTATGGAGGTGATATAAACAATACTTTAAGTATAAATCTTGATTATAAGATTAAAACATTTTAAACACTTTGAAGTAACAATAGTTGATGTTATTTATAAAGAACACACTGTGTGCCAGGTACTTCACATGTATAATTTTATTAAAATAATCTTCCCAACACTCAGCAAAACTGATAGTATTATTATCCTGATTTTGCAGATAGGGAAATGAAGCACATCAAAGTTCAGCAGTTTGTCCAAAGCAAGAGAGCTTTCCATTAAAATTCACTCAGATATCTCCATTAGTAAAAAACTATAGCCTATACCGTTAGACACCATACTGTACTACCTTCTCAAGAAAAGCTTCCCAAAGGAGGTGACATGTATGCTCGTTCCTGAAGGACAGGTAGAATTCTGCCATGAAGAGGTAAGAAATAAGGATATTTCAGACTAGTAGAGCAATGTAAACAAAGATAAGGAGATACGAATAGTTTAATGAAGCTGCAAGATATGTTACGAGGAGGGAAAGTGGCCACAGAATTGAAAAGTAACTAGAAACATGAATTAAAACGAAAATGTACAGGAATCTGTATACTATGCCGAGCCATTTAATCTTATTCTATAAAGTACACCACTAATAGTCAAAGTTGACTATTCATATCCTAGAAGGTACATAAAATGACCCACTAGGATACTGGGGGAACAAACTAAAAAATTCTATTTATTTCGAACTTAAGGAAATAAATTAGATTTATTTACAAATAAATTAAGATTTTCTAATATTCAATATATAAACTGACACTGGCAACCTCACTCATTCTGTATGTCAGCTGTCATGTATCATATATTTACTTTACCAAAGATCGCCACAATGTAGAGCAATTGACAGTCATACTCTCACTCTCCAATTCTCTTTCAGCATATTACAAAGTATTGTAGTTTAGATGAATGGATTTAAGGACAGCATCTAGTTTTAGGTAATCTAACCCTCATAAAATAATCACTTTAAAAGATTCTTTCACAGAAATAAACTGCAGAAAGTATTAAGGTAAGCACAAGTGAAAAAATGTTGGGCAACCAACATTTCTCCCTGCTGCTAGAACTGGCTTTTCTTCAGCCACAATAGGAGACCAAAAAACAAGATTTTCATCAGATGTGATATATTCAAATCACAATACTACAATACTCAACACTATATTGAATTTAAGATGCCTAGACCATTCAAGTTGAAAACAGGAACTCAGGAAACATCTAGCCTAGAGATTTGGAAATTATAACCTAAAATTCTAGGCCTACAGGAAATTCATTGGGGAGGGTAAGACAGGGGACCAAACCTCAAACAAACAACATTTAGGGAGTGAACACAAAGAGGAAAAAAAATGAAATAAAACTTAGATGTCACTGAAGGTACAAGGTGAATCAGGGTCCCACTGAAGTGGAAACCAGCAGAGAAAAGAGTTTTAATGAGGAGAAAAGGGGAAATCTTGTCAATTGCTACAGAAAGATCAAAAAGAATGAAAATTAATAAGCCATGGGTTTTTATCAACTGGGTCAAGAACAACACTGAAAAGAGAACAAAATGGTTAACAGCTCTGTCTGGATTCTAACACCAAATCATGTAAATCTATGTGATCTTGTATTACTTAATCTCTCTATGGCTCAGTTTCTTTTTCAGGTAGTTGGTAGGTATTATTCCCAACTTACAGATAAGGCAACTAAGACAGAGAGGTTGAATAACTTACCTAAGGTTCCGCAGCTAGTAAGCAGTACAACTAGGATTCAAACCCAGGCAAAAGGTGTTATAAGTTCTTGACCTTAAAATACACTACCTCACAGGGTTGTTGTGAGAATTAAATGAGATAATCCAAGTAAGTTACTTAAAATAGTGCTGGGCACACAAACAGGACTCAAATAGTAACTATTTTTATATGAGTACCATCATCATTGTTATCACTGAATGATTTTAGGAACATTAGTTTCCTTGGAACATAACTTGAGATCCAGGAGATTTTGAGGGACTGAGGAAAAGAAGGAAAGTGAGAACAGCAACTCCAAGGTGAAGCCCTGTGGAAGGAAGGCTACCTTCCTTGATCGTTGTTATAGGATGAGGAGAGGAACCCAAAGACACTGAGAAACTAAACATACCCAAAAGAGAATAAATGATAGTACAAGATCTCAAATAATACAGATGAGATAAAGGGCACACACAGAGGGGTTAATCCTTAGAAACAAAGATGAAAAGTGCTTCCTCTAAAAGAGGAAGAAAGCTGAAAGAACAACAGACATGTAAAGAAACAAAAGAGACTATGGAAAATGTTAGGGCTGTTCATGTTATATGACATGTATTTTCTCCGTGAATTAAAAGGCAATGTCATCTGTTTAGCATACGAACTTAAGGTCTTGATGGAATAGGAAACTTGAAGGGAATGGTAAATTTGAAATAATCACACAGAGGAGGAAAAGTGACGACTAGTGTTTACCAAAGCACTACTAAAAAAGTTCAGATCACTAATATGGAAATACAGCAATATCAACGATCAGGATGAAATATATTACGGAGCAACTTGTATTTTCAGTGAGTCTCAGAAGTACATATGGGAATGCAACCTGGCCTCTGTCATTCCATTTACTTAAAAGTTTAAGTGTGGACACTTAGGAAAAAAAGAAGATGAATAATAAGACAATAAGATAAAACACTGAGAATTGAACTTTCAGTACTTGAAATGATAATACACATTGAGTGGTTCTGAACTAGGGCACAAAATATTAAATCAACACTGTTTATTTAACCTATGTGGACTTGAGAATTCCTTAGTTATTTATTTAAACGATGAAACATACTGGGGGACACAGTCATATACACAGTTTCTTCAGCTTTACACAAAACTTTTCCTTAAAGAATGTTTCACCTTTGCAGATGTGCTTAGTAGATGGTATACTGAGTTAAAATATATTTAAAGAATGCCTTGACATTTCAATGAGGTGGGTAAGCCTTCCTTTAGATTTAAATAACAGGTACAAAAATACGATACCACCCTCTCCAGTACAATTCAGAAAAAGGTCACGCTTTCCATCAGCTTCTTAATACTAACTACTGTCCTGGAAATCCTCACCTCCTTCTTGATGGTATAACATATGGGTTTATATATATATATATATGTATATGCATATATATATATGTTTATTGAAGTATAGTTGATTTACAATATTATACGTTACTAAATATTCCAAAAATAGATATCCTGATAAGACGCTGACACTAAAAAGTCTTCAAGTCACAATAACTTTCTCTTTTAATGCAAAAATATGTCAGTTTTGGACAAGAGAAAATTTTACTTTGTTAACTGCCTTCTTTAATTGTGCATTTGCTTCTCTGTTTAGATAATATTAATTTGGTAATATTTTCCCCTATTATTAGAAGTAAAAGAAGAAAAAAAAATCAAGACATTAAAGTTTTAAAAATGCTTGCTTATGAAAGTCCAACAGTGTAGATGTTAAATGAAGGAATCATTGTAACATTGTTACTTTAGGAACATTATTATGACAGAAAAATATAATAGTTCTTAAGTAATCGCTATAATTTCATCAATTATTCATATATTGAAAACAATCTCCATGTTTTCCACTATTTTGCCTTCATTGTTATCAATAATACAAACCTAACATTTCAAGACCATCAATAAAAATGGGCATAAAAGATTTTTCAGTGTTTACAAGGTAAATCCTTGTTGAAACTCAAATAACTTCTATTGCGAAAACAAAGCAAAACTATTTTACGCTACTTTATATATCAGCCTATTATTCTCAACAGCATTTGATTTGCGACACCAAAATTTAGTTCTATATATGTCCATAATCATTAAAACATAATTAAATGGCATAGTCTGTCAATATTTAAAGACCATTTTAATTGGGTCGTTCAGTTATGCTATGTTAAATCTTCCCAGTAGTTAATGTGAAAAAAAGTCCCCTCCTCATCCCCTTCCTCATGCATTGTTTTAAGTAGGCCCCTACATAAAGGATTTTTTTCCCCATATTCATTCCCTTTCTTTCATCCACTGTTTGGTCTTATTTATAAAGACCAGCAGTTGCAATAAGAATCCACAGATTTTAAAGAACTATTATCAAGGAAATTAACTTTCACTCTAGTCACCCCTTTATCCTTGTTCTATAAAAAAGATGAGATACTTAGGAGAGATTTGCACTTCCCTCACTCGACCTCACTCCTGATACAGAGCAGTAGCAGTGCGAATACTTTTTACTACATTTCTGTACAATCAGCTGCTAAAGAATTTTTTTAAAAAAAGGAAAGAGAAAAGGAAGGAAGGAAGGAGAAAGAAGAAAGAAAGAAAGAAAAGAAAAGAAAAACTACAGAGACTCAAGTTTTACCTTGGAATATTCCCTAACTATGATGCCAGAGAAAAACAGGGAGGGAGATGGATAAAAGAGGGTTGGGTCGCACACCTCTGCGTCTCATCGACATCAGCGTCACCGTCAACCTGGCTGATCTGGATAAACTTTGATCTGCACGAAACTCAGGGATGGGCTCATTCACAGAGAGCGACATCAGTCTCATACTCTTACTCGGAGCAACTTCAGACTATGAATGGGGATGGAATCTAGAGGAAGTCACTGCAGAGAAAAGCCCATTCAGACTTCTCTGACTGCACTTAGCCTCGCGGACAAGACCCACTCGTTTTAGGTTCCCCCAGAGATCCAGGTTTCAAAGTCACACTGCGGCGCAGAAACAGGGGCCCTGGCTTAACACCCGAAGGTGGGGACGCCCAGCCAGCGGATGGGCAGGAGACAGGGGACAGAGGCGAGGAGTGAACGTCTGAGGCTCGGCGGGCGCGGAGCAGCAGCAGCAGCTGCAGCCGCGGTGCCAGCTGGTGGGCACGTATTCGCGGGACACCCGGGCCGGGAGTCCGAAAGTCCCAGCTGGGGTCCGGGAACAGGGTGCGGGGGCCTGAACAAGTTGTACGGAGCCCGCGGGCCGCCGCGCGGCGGTCCGCGCCGCTAGCGGGGCGAAGGTGACCGGGCGCGGCGGGCGGCAGAGAGGGGCGTGCGCCCACACGTGTGCTAGCGGCAGGTACCCGGGGGCGGCGCGTGCACGCCGGCGTGCGCGCGCGTACGCGCGTGTGTACACACGGACCCGCCAGGGAGGCGGCACCGGCCAGCCGGGCGCGAGGCGGGAGTGGGGCGGAGGGCGCCGCTGCACATACAGCCCTGACTCCCGCCCCCACCCCACCCCACCCCCGTCCCCCGGGACTCGACGGGCCGGTTACCTTTCTCCTCTCTCCACACCTTTTTCTTCTTGTTGCTGGGGTACATGTTGCTGTGGGGGTGGCTGGCTTTAAGCTGCAAGTTCCCCAGGCTCACGGGCAAACAGGGTGTATGCGGAGTGGGAGGGGTGGGAGGGGGCGCTCGGGAGGGAAAAAGTGGAAGAGGCTCCGGGTCCCGCGCCGCTCGCCGCTCTCCAGTCGCCGCCCTCCTCCCTCTGTACGCACTCGGTTCCGGCTCCCACCTGCCTCAGCCCCGCGGCAGCCACCACAGCAGCACCTCAGAGCCTGTCAACTAGGTCACGCCTCGCGCTAACCTAACACCCGCGCAGGCCCCGCCTCCCAGCCTCTAGCCAGCGCCGTCTCCCATTGGCTGCACCGCCCGCCGCTCTCCGCGTTCCAGCTGCCGCGCGCCCCGACTTCGGCCCCAAGGCGCACGCGCAGGCGCAGGCTCGGGCCCGACGCCGAGGACGTTGGGGAGCTGAAGGGGGCGGAGCCAAGGCTCGAGGGGGCTGGAGGTGGCTCACGACTGGGGCGGTGCGTGGGGCGGCCCCGCGGGAGCACCGTGAGGCGCTGGGCGCTTCCTTGCGGCTTCGCGGCGCTGGGAAAACCCGAGGGCGTGGCCTACTGGAAGGGCCAGGTGCGCCAGGTGATTGCGCGCTGACAGGGAAAAGCTGCCTCAGGGCCTGGAAGAAGTGGAAGTGGGAGGAGATGTAAGTCAACAAGAATTGTATACTTTCACTGTCACCGCCCCGTCTGGACGGATTTTACCGGATAATCTGAAGCTTTCCTCTTGGTGGGCAAATATAACCGAAAGAAGTGAAAGGATTAGGAAATGGTTCCAGACCATATACAATCAGCTCCTTGACCTTGTAGTAAAAATTATGTATTTCACTCGACTCCGGTGAAGTCTGGAAAGAACAAAAGTAAACTGAACTACTCAAGGGTTTAAGAACCGGGGAGTAGTGGGCAACCAGAACCTTATACTGGAAACGGAAAGAAGTCACATCAAAGCAAGTTCAAGTGGGTGTTAACCAGAGCCCGTCATCTTATCGGTTTTATTCCCCCACCAATTGCTTCAGTTAAGGCGCTAGTCTAAAGGGCTCGCTTGAATCTGGGCAATGCTAGTCTGCAGGTGATCTGAAAACCCGGCTCCGTTCGAGTCCACCATAGGAGTAGGGTGACCTAGAATTTAGAGGAAGTTTGGTAACCCCATCCCCAAATTTATGGTGTTTCTAAATATCACACAAGGCTGATTTGGTGGATGTGGTGAATCCACATTTATTTGGCAATTGGGGTGCTGTGTTATCTGTGTTGTACTTAAGCCAGGTGTGTAAGAGCAAATAATTATTTGGAACAGGTTTTTAATAATAAGAGGAAGGAAGGGGGGGCCCTTAAGAATTGTAAAGAATGAAATGTTTTGAGCAACAGGACACTCTCATGAGGATGATTAATAACAGTAAGATAATTTTGTTAATTTTGACATTGTTTCTGCTTCTGTTTTTCTTTTAATGCTGTGAAGTACATAAAAATTTGTTTGAGAGAAATAGGGAAAGCTTCAAGAAGGAAGTGACATTTGAGCTAATAATGAAAATATGCACTCATTTGTTGGCAGTGGAAATAAAAGCGGGACTCTAAGGCACATTACCAAGGTAGTATCAATAAAACTTGGTAATGAAATAGATTTGGGGAAGAGAATAAGAAAGACAAAGAATCTAGGGTTTCACGGTATAGTTGAGGAAAATAGCAATATTAATAATATTTGGCAATACAGGAGCAGTTTCAGATTTAATGGGAAAGATATTGAGTCCTCAGTTAGAAATGCAAAATGCAATGTGTGCAGGAAAGTGCATTATACTGGGCACCTTCTCTTCTGTTACAACAGAGAAGCTGTTTCCACCCCAACCCAGAGCCAGTTCTTCCACCTGTGCTTTCTTTCTTTTTTTAAATGTTTATTTATTTATTTATTATTTTTGGCTGCGTTGGGTCTTTGTTGCTGTGCGTGGGCTTTCTCTAGTTGCGGCGAGCGGGGGCTACTCTTTGTTACGGTGCGCAAGCTTCTCATTGCGGTTGCTTCTCTTGTTGCGGAGCACAGGCGCTAGGCGTGCAGGCTTCAGTAGTTGTGGCTCGCGGGCTCTAGAGCGCAGGCTCAGTAGATGTGGTGCACGGGCTTGCAGTATGTGGGATCTTCCCAGACCAGGGCTCAAACCCCTGTCCTCTGAATTGGCAGGCAGATTCTTAACCACTGCACCACCAGGGAAGTCTGCCACCTGTGCTTTCTTAGAACTGCACTACTGATTATCCTTTATCTCATGTTGACTCAAAGAACTGGGACCATCCATCAACTTTTAAACTTTCTCAGGTTTCTCACATGTTAAAATAAATAAAATAAAAATAAATACAAATGCCTCCCGTGACCCCACACTCCTACTGCTAAGGGAAGTTACTTTCCAAAGTAACTTCCTCCTTTCCAAAATGTTGTGTCAATTTTCTTGTATCCCACTTTCTGCTCTTCAGTCCACTCTAATCTGGGTTCTATCCTATAAATAAACTTAAACGGCTGTTACTAAGGTAATCAATGGCCTTCATGTGATATTTAATGGACATTTTTCAATCTTTCTCTTACAAGATCTCTCAGCAGCATTTAATAATATTAACCTCTTATTCCTCCTGACAGCATTCTTTTCCTTTAATTTTGTCAGCCTTTTGAGTTTCCTCCTGTCTGGTCATTTCTTTATAGCCTCCTTTGTTAGCCCATCTTACTTTTCAGCCATTACATTTTGGAGTTCATTCTTTGAATAATTTCATCCATATTCATGGCTTCAGTTATAACTATAATTCTCAACCAGGGGCAATTCTGCCTCCCTTGGGGACATTGGCAATGTCTGGAGACATTTTTGGTTGTCACACCTGAGGGAAAAATGCTACTGGCATTGAGTGAATGTAAACCAAGGATTCTGCTAAGCATCCTACCATGCACAGGACAGTCCCCTGCAATAAAGAATGCCAATACCGTTGAGGTTGGAAAATCCTGAGTTACATCAATGACTCCCACATTTATTAACTACAGGAAAGTTTTCTTACCCCTCTGCCCTGAATCTAGAGTTATCTTGTCAAGTGTGATCAGGTCAATTTACTGTTGTAAATCATTCAGTGACTTTGTGGTGGACTTTACCATGGATTGAACTGAGTTCCCCCAAAATTCATATAGCCCACAATGTGCTTATATCTAGATATAGGGTCTTTAGGAGGTAATTATGGTTAACTGAGGTCATAAGGGTGGGGCCCTAATCCAGTAGGACTGTGGCCTTATAAAAAGGAGAAGAGTTCACACTCTCTCTCTCTCCCCTTCCCTCTGACTCCTGCATTCTAACTCCACTGTCCCCCATCATGTAAAGACCCAGTGAGAAGGCAGCCTTCTGCAAACCAGGAAGAGAGCCTTCACAAGAAGCAGACCATGCTGTACCCTGATCATGGACTTCCAGCATCCAGAACTGTGAGAAAACTAACTTCTGTTGTTTAAGCCGCCCAGTGTGTGGTATTTTGTTATGGCAGCCCAAGATGACTAACACAGTCTTATAAAAACTGAATCATTTAGAAGTGACCATCACCTACCAATTCTGCTTTACCATGCTCCACCCCCACCACCCATCTCTGATTCCAACCATAGCAGCCCTTAGAGCTTTTCAGTTCCTTGAACATGTCTTATTCTCACCACATGGCCTTTTCACATGTTTATCCCTATACCTAGGACATGTTTTGCTTAGTTAACCCATTCTCATTCTTCAGAGTTTAGCTGGCAAAATTCACTCCCTGGCAAAGCCCTTCCTGATTCTGATCCCACCTGACCTCTACGTACAGCTTCCTCTTCTGTGTCCTCAGTACTCATTCATTTTCCTATAAAGCACTTTTTATAGTTTGTAATTATACATTTATTTTTGTGATTATTTCATTAATATTTGCCTTTCACTCTAGACTTATAAACTCTCTGAGGACGGGAAATACATCTTGTTGCTCACCATCCACAGAAAATGCACAATACTTGGCACATAATAAAAATGTATTGAATAACTGAAAGTTAAGTGAGCATCCATAGAGAAATGCTGGCAAAACTAAGGAGGAGCACATGACACCAAAATGTGAGCCCCTAATTTAATGTGAAGACCAAGAGAGGAACTAACAAATAAAATTAATGAACACCTCAAAGAGTATTACCTTTCATCTTTAGCATATAGCAGATTTTCAACATGTAAATGAATGAGGCAGGGAGTGGTAGAAGAAGAATGAGAAGTGTGTTCAAAAGTGTAAAAAAGTAACTGCAATTCAATTTTCAGAGAAACCAATAATATGTTTTCAAGAAGATGTTTATGGTCAGAAATGTCAGATGTCTCACAGAGATCAAGTAGGATAAGAACTGAGAAAAGATAATTGGATTTATAGTCTATGTAAATTAGTGAAAATAAAAACAAGTAGTTGAAGAATAAGTGAGACGCAACAAGCCAGAAGCAGTGATTAAGGAGTATTCTTTCAAGATGTTTAGAGGCTAAGGGATAAGTAGAAAAGATAGCAGTAACAAGGATACGAGAGTCAAGGGAAAATTTTTCTAGGAGAGGTGGAATGAAGAGTTTTTAAATTAAGAAGAAGATTGGTACAAAAAGATTGAAACAAAAAGAGAGAGAGAGAAAAAGTTAGAAGAGAAAAGAACAAATGTTAGATAGAGTGAAGTACCAGAGAAAGTAAATGTGGAAAGAATCAAAAGTGAGAGAAGTTTGGATTTAGAATATAGGAAGTGCATTTCATCTTTTGGGATGAATTAGGAAAAAAAGAACAGATGGAGATTCAAAAATGTTTTTTTAATAAAAAGGAAGGAAGTCGAGGTAAGATAGGTCAAATGGCCTCAGTTTCCATGAAAATAGGAAGCAAAATCATCTGCTGGAAGATGCTGATAATTCTGGATCCAAATGGGGACTGGAAAAAAAGGTTGTTTGAAGAATGTTTAATGGATGATATTAAGAGTTTAAATAAATTTTATTTAGATACTTTTTTAAAGTACAGCAGTTGGGCCAGTTCTATTTTGAAGTCTCTTGGTGAGAGGAAAAGATATTAGGGACACTGGTAGACTGAATAATGGTCCCAAAGATCTCCAGGACCTAATCTCTAGAACCTATGAATGTTACTTTATTTGGCAAAAGGAACTTTGCCAACATGACTGAGGATTTTGAGATCAGGAGATTATCTTGTATTTTGGTGGTGCCTAAATGTAATCGCAAGTGTCCTAAGA